AATTTTTTTTTGTAACCTTGGCCAGATCTGTGCCTTGCCACAATTCTGTCTCTGAGCTCTTCAGGCAGTTCCTTTGACCTCATGATTCTCATTTGCTCTGACATGCACTGTGAGCTGTAGGGTCTTAGACAGGTGTGTGGCTTTCCTAATCACGTCCCATCAGTATAATCAAACACAGCTGGACTCAAATGAAGGTGTAGAACCATCTCAGGGATGATCAGAAGAAATGGACAGCACCTAAGTTAAATATATGAGTGTCACAGCAAAGGGTCTGAATACTTATGACCATGTGATATTTCAGTTTTTCTTTCTTAATAAATCTGAAAAAATGTCAAAAATTCTGTGTTTTTCTGTCAATATGGGGTGCTGTGTGTACATTAATGAGGAAAAAAATGAGCTTAAATGATTTTAGCATATGGCTGCAATATAACAAAGAGTGAAAAATTTAAGGGGGTCTGAATACTTTCTGTACCCACTGTATTTCCCTTTGTTTGTGAATGTTCTTAGACTCCTGCTCTCCTTTATTTTCTCCATGACACTGACAGAAGAGTTCTGTCCTTCAGTTCATAAAACAGACACAGGTATGAGTTTAAGTTAGCCTTACATCATCACTGCCTTTTTTTCTGTCCATGCAAGAAACAGCTGTATGCACAACTGACATGAGAATGAGGACAAATGTCAAATGCACACGAACGCTCATACTTTTTAAAGCCCCTTTGGGATTTGCACTTCACTCTGTAAATGTTGTGGCGATTTAGTCTGTAGGCATTGTGTTTAATTTTAGAGCAAAAACTCTGAGGTACAGACTGAGGGTGTGGAAATGTATGGCAGGGGTTCTTAAAAAGATGCTGCTGGTTGCACTGAGGGATGACCCATTCTAATCAGGTAACATGGGTTCTGCTGCATTGGGTTTGACTATTTTATTTAAAATCTGTTTCGTGTGTCCCAACAGCATTATTAAAGTGCAGTAGTAAATTGCTGGAGTAGTCCTTTTAAAAATGTAAATGTGTGTTTTCACAGCACTGGAATACAACTCACACACAAGCCTAATTATAATTTCTTACAATATTTTAGTAATGAGCAAAGATGAAAATCCAGTATAACGCAACCTACAGCACCAGAAGACTGAAAATAAACTTTTACCATTTCAGCTTTTAAAAGTATGCCCATTTTTTTGCCTAGTCCAACTGTGTAAAACAGGCAGAAGTATTCTGCATGTCATCTCTAATGATCTATTAACTTTGAGAAAGGTTGCATGTGCTTAGGTGACTTCTTGTGGGATAATGAAGTGTGGGCAAGCATCACACTTTCTGTAGATGGATAACAGTCAAGCTATGAAGTTAAACATTCATTCAATGCCAGTGTAACATTTTAATCCCTAGGGTCTTGATGGCATCACTTCTGTTTTCCAGAAGAGCTTTCACTGTGTTGACTGCTGAGGAGCGAAACAGGACAAATCAAATCAAATCAAATCAAATTTTATTTGTATAGTGCCAAATCACAACAAAAGTCTTCTCATGACACTTTACAAAGTAAGGTAAAACCCAAAACCCAACAAATCCCCCTTGAGCAAGCACTTGGTGATAGTGGGGTGGAAAAACTCCCTTTAACAGAAGAAACCTCCGACAGACCGCGGCTCTTGGTGGGCGGCCTTCGGCCTCAACCGGTTGGGGTGAGTGGATAGAGGAGAGACAAAAGAAGAAAAGCAACAAGACACAACAATCAAACACTGATCAGGTCAATGTGGCTGGTGACTTCTTTTTCAGAGGGGCAATGGTATCAAGTGTATTACGCAGGAAGGCTGCAGTACTATCAACAAGATTATTGACTTGTGTGGGAGTAAAGTTAAGGTGGCCTCCTTCCACTGTGTTGGCAAACAGCACTGAAGTAGATAAAGACGGAATTATTTCCTTAAACTTGGTAACAGCATTGCCAGATAGACATCTGCTGTAGTGGAATTGTTTCGCAAATAGAGTATAATCCATTAATGGAAATTCAAAAGTTATTAGAAAATGGTCAGACAGAAGAGGGTTTTGAGGAAAGACTACTAAGTGTTCAGTTTCGATGCCATATGTCAGAACAAGATCAAGAGTGTGATTAAAACAGTGAGTGGGTTTATTTACAGTTTGAGAGAAGCCAACTGAGTCTAATAATGAACAGAATGCATTGTTGAGGCTGTCATTGTCGGCATCTACATGAATATTAAAGTCGCCTACTATGATTATTTTATCTGTACTAAGCACTAAATCAGACAGAAAGTCTGAGAATTCACTTAAAAACTCTGAATAAGGAGCAGGTGGACGGTATACAATAACAAACAGAACAGGCTTTTGAGTTTTCCAGTTTGGGTGTGAGAGACTCAGGGTGAGACTTTCAAATGAGTTATAACTATGTTTAGGTCTAGGGTTGATTAATAGGCTTGAGTCAAAGATCGCTGCCACGCCACCACCTCGGCCTGTGTTTCGAGGGATGTGACAGTTACTGTGACCAGGTGGAGTGGATTCATTTAGACTGACATATTCTTCCTGCTGTAACCACGTTTCAGTAAGACACAATAAGTCAATGTGATGTTCACTTATCAAATCATTCACTAACAGAGATTTAGATGAGAGAGATCTGATATTTAATAGTCCACATTTGATTGTCCCATTACTTTCCACTATAAGAGGAGTCGTCTTAATTTTAATTAGGTTCTTATGAATAACTCCTCTGGAGTTGATTCTTGATTTATATAATTTAGGTGGGCAGGGG